ATGTAAACTACAAGCTATTTAACGTTTATCTACCTAATTAATATTTTAGTAACATACTTGAATTTTGAATGAGTGAAACAAAAAAATTTTTCTTCAGTTAATACTTTAATTGAAATTAGGATTCCGAAGTATAAAGTATACTTTTTACACTAACCTATAGTAAAATTTTTCATTGGAAATTTGTTAACAAAAATGGCATCAACATTGAACTTTTTTACAAACCAGAGAAGTGCCATATTAGTTTCTCAATACTTTCTCTGCATGAGAGTAAGTGGTTCCAATAATTTTCTGGGCTGCTTGTTATCTTGATTATAGAAAATAGTTTATCTGTTCGTTTCTTTTCAATATCTTAAGATAGTAGTCAAAGGCGACACCCGAATATATGCTTAACTATATCTGTATACTATTTTAAAGTATATTATACAGGTATACTTTAGCATATAGTTAGGTGTTGCTTTGGCCATAAGTACATTTCAACTGACTTGCTAGCACGTTTTTTGCCTGCCTTTAGGCTCGCTTGTTGGTTTTTATGCACACCTTTACGTACACTTGCTCAAATTTAGATGTCATTAGAATTTACGGAATTTTCTTTATCACACCTTGTTTTTTTCGAACAAAGTTCTAAAAACTTTATTGATTAATTAGTCAGTATCATTTTGTTTTAATCTGCTCCATGAACTTCAAGAAGTAACAGCTCTAATAAGTCATAATTTTTTTAAGCCGACTACAAAGTAATAATTAAAATGCTATATAATAATTCGGACTAATGCTTGTCAAGCTAAGATGAGTGTGAGATATGAGTTGTACTCAAAACCGAAAAAAGCAACGTTTTAAAAGAAATAATCACTTACAGAGACATTTGAAAAGTCATGAAAAAAACGTTCCAAAAAATATCTGTCAAAATGTTGGGAAAGGTTATGTAAGAGCAGAGCACCTTAAAAGACCTATTAGAGTATGTAATCAAAATAAAAATCGTAAGTAAGTTAATTGTAAAGAAATTGTTTGTTTTGGTGAAGTAAAATTATATTTGAAAATTAGACCATTTGTTACAGTTAATAAATAAGGCTTTACAAATTTATTCTCATTATATATAGGGGAGCTGGGGGAGAGCTGGGGGGGGGGAGCTAGCAAAAAAGTAGGATTACTCGAAAAATGCAAGAAAATGAAAGGAAAACTACCTTATAGGGAGGGAGCGGGGGGGAAGGGGGGGGAGCAAAACCTCGCTCTAACTCTTGCGACTGAAATAGGTACAGAGAAGAACGAGGCTACTGTGATATCTCAAAAAGGCTTAGAAATAGTTAAAAGAACATTACGTGATTTATGTCATACAAATATCCATTTTAGTAATAAATTAATTGTTTTAGCAGGCAATTTCAGACAGAACTTTCTAGTTTGAATAATAGTAGTAAAAGCATTTGTTGTAACAAATTATTAAATCNTATATTGTATACAAAATGCTATCAAGATAAAAGTATTACCTATACACAATGTATTTTTACATATGCAAGGTAGGTCATTCATCTTGAGACAATGAGATAACCTGATTACAACTCAATATCCTAAAGAACGTTTTAGACAACATTTTTAGTATTTTAATCATGAAATCAGATGGTTACCTTCTTCCTAAGATCCATTTCACTTTTGACAGTTATGTGACAGACTTTTTTTTGAAAGGAAGACCTTCATTTTTCATTGGGATTTGAAAAAATATAAAATTGTATGTTTAAACATACGTTTAATATAAAAATGTTATCAGAGCTCTTAAGAGTGGCGCCAGATCCCTTAGAAATAAAAAATGTGCTCTAATCCAAGCTTTTTACCTTAGTAACCCTGTTATTCCATAAAATTTAACTTTATGATCGTGTAGTCCTAGAGCCATTATACATATTACCCTGTAAATTTTGAAGGATTAAACTTTACAACCTGGTAACCAAAAGAGTTAAATTTAATCCTAAAATTTTAACAAAGTTTTAGAACTTTGTATATCTAATTATATGGTTACTACTAGAATTATTAAACTTTAACTAATAGGTCTTTGGAAGTGAAATTAAATTATCTTAAAAGATACTTAATGTATCAATTTAAAGACTTTTAGTTGTTGAATAATGTAAAAAATGAAAGTTTAAACATAATAAGGTTTTCAAAGTCTTCCTACTTTGTTTTTAATTTTTTCTTAATACTCTTTCTTTATCAAATCAAAATGATTCATTTGGAAAAATCCAGTTTTTTTGTTTTTTAATGATTGTCAACGTTAATTTTGGACTTAGATCAAATGTGTAACAAGATGTAAATTTTTTTTTATTTAGTGCTTGCATAAATAACAAACATTATATTGAATGAATAATAAATCGTCATATTATGGACAAATAAAGTATGTTGTTAAAAAAAGTAATTATATGTATTCCTATTGCAACATCAAAAGCTGATCGTCACATGACTTTTTAAAAAAAATGGTGTCAAAATATAAGTTATGACAGGATGATCTAAATATAGCTGTTACATAGCCGTCAAAAAACGTATTAACCATAAAAGAAAAGTAAACATTAAATCCTACAGTCGAAATAAATCGAAATTTTTTTTTTAAATAATTAGTTAAAATCAAGTCATTTCTTTGTCTCCGGGCAAAAGACGAAATCCTTATATTTAATGGAAAGATATAAAAATGTCCTAATTAATATTAAAAAGTTCTACTTACTTCGCAAAGGTTCTTTATCAGTCCTAGTTTGTATGATGGTTGTACCACCGGAGGCATCAAAAACTCGTATTTCTAATCTGCCAGCAATCGCTTGCTCTTCTTCATCCACACTAGATGAATTGACAGTCAAACTTGGAAAAAAAGTATTTAAAATAGGCATACTTGTTTTTTTAGTAATAGAACTTTTTTTATACTTCGTAGATCGTGTAGCAATATTTCTCATCAAATCAATACTGAATGTCAAATCTCGGAATGTAGCTAGTTGAACCTAAAAATAAGTTGAAATTTCTATTAGATAATAGATTTACGATAATAATCATTTTGATGCTTATTGAATGAGATAAAAATTAATGTTTTATTAGGATTCCTTGTATAGATATGCGTAAAAAATAATTAATACATGGAGTAAGTTGAAAAAAGTTTCGTCGACTTTTTGAACACCAATTTGCTTCAGGAATACAATTCAAGAATAATTTTTTTTAGAACAAGAAATTGTTCAAACAGAAACTGCAAAAACGTATTTGAAGTATTAAGTAATAATGAATTATAATTCACCAAATTACTCGTTTAAAATTTGATATAAGTAACAAAAACTACTCACTATTCGGATTTTTAACAGGGCGTCAGTTTACTCCCCAACACTTATTTCGTGACTAGTCAACAAGATTTTTATGTACAATGTCTTACATGTAATTCTTCACAGAGCAATTAGCAAACACTATGGGGAATGTTCCGGATAAATTGAGCTTAGATTTTTAAAGTGAAATATGTGAAAGTTTGTCTGTCATGTATGTGTAGTGAAGTAAAAAAATGTGTTTGAATGTAAATGACAATTGTTTTCATGTTAAAAGGGTAATGTTGATTTTAGTTAAAAAGACGTCGGTTTTGCTACCAATATCAATGATTCAAAGTCACATTTTACTTGACAGCAATAAATATCCTTGAAAATTCGATGATTTCCCAAAGATGTTTCTTTCTTTGCGCGAAGCTGATTTTGTAAGCTACAGTGAATGCTAAGCCCTAATACATTTTAATAAGAATTGAGTGATATCTACTGAATTCATCAAATTATAAAACTAATGGCTATTGCTGTTGTATATAATATTTTATTATATCCCCTGACGAAGTTTCTCTCCTCTTTGGGTAGGAGCCTTTTCAAGTCCTAATTTTATAAAATATACACGAAATAAATGAACTTGAGGTAACAATACATCCACGTTATCATATCTAATATCATTTTAAAAACTAAGAACAATAATAAACAATTTTAAATACAGTTACAAATTAGAGACTTACAAAAAGATTATTTTGTTCGAAGACTCAAACAACGTCAGTACCCAACGAGGGCACATAGTCGACTGACCTTACATATTCAAATTATCAAATACAAATTTTACATACATATATAGACGAAACCAAAATGTGTTACATATATATTCGATCTATACAGTGAAAACGCGTGATAAATTTAAATTACAATAAAGGATATAAAAACACAAATATTAATTTACTTAAGTAACAAGTGTATGTACCGTTTCAAAACTTTATTTAAATTATCATAGTCCAACATTCTATCAAAATTGTTTGTCTTTTCAATAAAAATCATCTCAGACAATAATCTCTTATAATAATTCTGTTCCATATCTATAATGTTGATTTCGTTGTCACTAAAATTAAAAGAGTGCCCTGTGTCTAAGTGATGTTGATATAAGGCAGACTTCTCACGTTTATGTTTTATGTCACTTTTGTGCTCATTTAACCTAATACTTAATTTTCTTAATGTCTGGCCAATATAACAATTACTGCAATCTGAGCAATCAATCTTATAGACAACATTCGGGTTATTCAACTTTTTCAATATGTCTTTTCCATACATTCTATTGAACGGCAATTTATGACTACTCTTAAAAATAACATTAGTTAAACTTTTTGAACAAAATACCCTTAACTTATAATCTAACTCACGGCAATAAGGTATAACTAATGAGCCAATAGCATTATTAACAGGACTATTATTATTTTGACTATTATTGACGGACTTTAAAAAATATAATCTTTTCTTTATACAACTTTCGATAAAATCTAAAGGATAGTTATTTGCTAGCAATACTGTATGAATATGTTTGCAATTGTTTGAGAAATATTCAGGTGAAGAAAGTTTGTAATTTTTATCTACTTAATGTGAAACTATTATCAAATTAAATATTAGGTTAAATGAGCACAAAAGTGACATAAAACATAAACGTGAGAAATCTGCCTTATATCAACATCACTTAGACACAGGGCACTCTTTTAATTTTAGTGACAACGAAATCAACATTATAGATATGGAACAGAATTATTATAAGAGATTATTGTCTGAGATGATTTTTATTGAAAAGACAAACAATTTTAATAGAATGTTGGACTATGATAATTTAAATAAAGTTTTGAAACGGTACATACACTTGTTACTTAAGTAAATTAATATTTGTGTTTTTATATCCTTTATTGTAATTTAAATTTATCACGCGTTTTCACTGTATAGATCGAATATATATGTAACACATTTTGGTTTATGTTATCAGAGCTCTTAAGAGTGGCGCCAGATCCCTTAGAAATAAAAAATGTGCTCTAATCCAAGCTTTTTACCTTAGTAACCCTGTTATTCCATAAAATTTAACTTTATGATCGTGTAGTCCTAGAGCCATTATACATATTACCCTGTAAATTTTGAAGGATTAAACTTTACAACCTGGTAACCAAAAGAGTTAAATTTAATCCTAAAATTTTAACAAAGTTTTAGAACTTTGTATATCTAATTATATGGTTACTACTAGAATTATTAAACTTTAACTAATAGGTCTTTGGAAGTGAAATTAAATTATCTTAAAAGATACTTAATGTATCAATTTAAAGACTTTTAGTTGTTGAATAATGTAAAAAATGAAAGTTTAAACATAATAAGGTTTTCAAAGTCTTCCTACTTTGTTTTNTTTCTTACGTGTGATTCAAAACAAACAAATAATTATAATGTGAGCACATAAATTTACACTTTAAAAAACATACAGCTTTTACAAGGTATCTTTTGATCCACTCTTTTGATAAATAAGAACTATTATTAAATTGAACTTCATTTAATACTTCATAACAAAAAAAAAAAATTTACCTGATGTCTGAGGGAAAATCCTTCCAATCTGACCAGTACCCTAAACGAACTTTAAGACAACGAAGTAAAAGGATAGCGGTTGTAGTTTGTAATCAAAATATTGAGCTGAGAAGATCATAATTTTTTTTGTGAATAAGAGATGAAGCAACATCATATATGTTGTTATATACGATTGTACATACTGTTTGTGATTCAAGAGTTTGTATTCCCTTAGATAAACACTTATAAAAATAGAAAAATTAGTAACTATCAAAATAACAATACTAATAAATGAAACAACCACAGTTTTAAAATGTATTAATCTATTCATCTCTCTTAGAAATAACTATGTGGAAAAACCATATCGTAAAACCATTTGGAAAATCCATTTGTTAAAACTATACAGTTTTTGTTCCAAATATCCAAATGGTTTTTTACCGAAAACCATATGGATATTTAAACTATGGTTTTTCATTCTGTTTGTGATTCAAGAGTTTGTATTCCCTTAGATAGAGTCTTAAAAAAAAACAAATTTTTTCTAGTATGTTCAAAAAACGATTTGATTTACATAATTATTATACGATTAATGCTTTTATTAAAATAAAATATATTTGGTTCTTTCCTAGTTCCCTTTGTATTTTTAAGTTTACAAACTACTTTCATACATTTCTGGACAATCATTTATCATCACTTGTACAGGTAACGTTATCATTTCTTCTGAACCGTCTGCCTTCGACAAGTTACAATATTTTATTTAACACATTTTTTTTGTCTGTCTGTCTAGGACAAATCTTGTTAATAACTTTTCAACCACTTTCCAACATTCAATTGGGCTAAAGTTTTGCACACACTCTTGATTACAAGGACAATGGCAATATGGTCCACTCAAAATTGTGGTAAATCGAGTAGGGTGGCCATATCAAAATAGTGGACAAACATTTTTTTACAATCTTTTTGACATACGTACTAAATTAAATGACTGGGCATTATAAGTAGAATATAATATGCTGTATTACATCATTCAAAATTTAAAATGGCGGCTAACACAAAATGGCTAATGACATTTTTTGACAACCCTATTGACATGGGTATCAAATGAAAGGGTATAACAAATAGATTGCAACAAGCTAAGTTACGTCATTTAAAATTTAAAATGGCGGTCAACACAAAACGACGGGCTTCTTTTCCTTTTACAACCCCTTCAAAACTAGTATCAATTAAAAGATCATGATTAGTATAATACTACATGCTGTTAACTTTACTAAAAATACAAAATATGGTCTACAAAATAAAAATTTATGATCTACGAAAAAAAAAATTTTTTTTTTTCTTACAAATCATCCTCTCACGATGGGTTTTAAATGACAAGGAATCCCAGGTAGAAAGGTATGATAAGCTATAAAGGAGGAAATCCTAGGTATGGTAAGCTATAAAGTATCCCCACCAGTAAATATTTTGTAAGTACTTACGTAAGTTCTTACATGATTACAAACTCAAGAACTTAAGTTGTCCTTACGTCAGTTCTTACGATTTATAAAAGTATTTTTACGTGTACAGACATAAGTACTTATGTATGATAATCAGATTATTTCAAACGTAAATACTAGTATGAACAGCAGTTCTATCGTTTCTTTCTTACATTTTTATTACTATGGTTAATATTTTTTGGTATAATCAATATGACTGTAAGAATTAAAATTGACTTTGCTTGAAAAGTAAAAAAAAAAATGTTTTCTCATTAAAATACTTATAAGTAGTGAAAAAAAAATTATGTATAATTCAAGTACAGTTTTATGTATAAGTATAAAACAATATTTAGTAAAATCGTTACAAACAATGACTGTGTGCAAGCATTTGGTACGTGTATAAACATAAACAGTTGCATAAACTTGTCAAAAATTGTTTAATGAATACCGTCGAATCATGTTTTTTTCGTAAGGTACATCAGCCAAAGTAGGTGTTACCATCCGTATGATAACACCAACACTGGGCAATTAAAGTATTTTTTAACAAGTATACAAAAATACTTGAACCCTCGAATGTGGATGTTATCATACGGATATCACCTATTTGGGCTGATATACTGTACAAAAAAAAATATGATTTGACGATATACATGAGAAAATCATGAAAATTAAATG